ATCCCGTCGAGTGGACGGCAGCACACCGCGCCACACCGCAAATGGTCAATCAAGGTTTATAAAATACCAATCAAGGTTTTGTAACGCGATCTGTGCCACTGTGAAATGGCACTAGCCTAATACGATACACAGGTACACCACGGGAGCCGCCTAAGCGACTCCTGCGAGGGCGGCGAGGCACTTAGCTCCGTCCGTGCACCCGCCCACCCCCGCCACAGGCAAGCTCATTCACAATCTGCTCTGCGATGGCCGTGTGAAGAACGACTGAGATGCGCTGCTTCTGCAGCCCCAGCCAATTCTTAGTGGTCCAAGTCACCTGTGGGTTGTGTTGTCTACCTGTGCAAGCATTGCAACGTTGCAGGACGCGACGTGGTGCACGGCACCGTCAACAACAACATGGGTCGAATCTATGGGGGCGGGCAGTATCCCTGTGTGCAAGTGCTCAATCCCCCAAGCGAGAGACCCCCTCGCCACGGCGGTGTGGAGGACGACAGACAAGCGCTGCATCTGCAGCCCGTGCCAGTTCTTGGTGGTCCATGTGACCTCGTCCAGGTGCTGAGCGTGCGAAAGTTTGTAATAAGAGGGCTCCCGCGGCGATCAACACCGCAACTCCTTTTCTAAATTTCACCACTCTTCTTACGCGCGACGACGCTACAGCCTACCAAACCTCCACACACTTCTACTCACCCTCGGACATGCTTGCACCGTCGTCCTAGACACAGTACGCGGCAGCGCCGACACGTCAACCCGCGTGTACATCAGCGACGGGTCGCGCACGCCGCACGAGGCGCATGCGTGCAGCGGCAGCGCGTGCGCCATGCGCTCGTCGCTCCACTCGCCCAGCAGCCGCCGCTTCGTCTCGTCGGAGACGTGCACGCAGCGCTGCAGCAGCGCCGCCGTCTCGTCCTCGGGCCGCTCCAGGTCCATGACGACGTTCGTCGAGGCGTGGAAGCGCGTCTCCAGGTCGATGGCCGCCTGCTCGGCCGCGGCGAGCTTGCCCTGGTCGACGCACATGCCGCACACCGCGTGCGCCGGGCAGCCGCACTGGCCGCGTTGTGGGCGCACGGTCTTGGCGACCGCCGGCGCTGCGCGCCGGTCGTGCTGCTCACGCTGCCGGCGGCGCTGGTCGCGCGCCTGCCGATCGCGCGTGTTCGCGGCGGCTGCATCTCCTGCTCGTTTCGCTCGCACCCGAGCGGCGGTCGCCAGGCGCTTCAGGTCGGCGGTGCTGCGCGCGCGGCCGTCGGCTCTGCACAGCCACATGTCCTCCTCCTCGGCAGGCTCGCACGGCTTGCCGTCGAACTGCGGCGGGAACCCGCGACGACGCTTCGCCCAGGCCGGGCACGATGGTGCCGCGACGAGCGGCGTCGAGGCGACCGGTTACTCGATCGTGTTCGACGATGTCGAACATTGTTCGACATCGTCGAACACAAGTGGAGAATGGCCGTAGATCCTCTCCACGAGCGATTGAGAAGACGTACCAAGTATCGATTCTGTATAGAATTGCAAGGCGCACACGCTGGTGCAGGCGGCGAGTCATCGATCCGACTCGTTCCGACGTGAAGTCGCCGTGAAGGTTTGCAAACAGCGCCATTTTTGCCACATTTTGCCCTCCCGCGCGATCTTCTCGCGTCGGCAAGCGCGCGGGCCAGGATGGGCGAGCCGGTCCCGCCACGCTGGACGGGCCAGCGGCTGGCACGCGCCGGCCACCCCGGCGGCGCGGCGGCCTCATCGCGCTCGTCGTCTGCGAGGCCACCGCTCGGCGTCGCCGCGTCCGACGGCGATGGCGCTTGGCTGTGAGGTGGGATGGCGGCATGGTGCGCGCGGACGTGGGGGTGGTGCGGGATGCGCGTGTCAGCAAGCATAGTTTCACCTCTACCCACCCCGCAGGCGCGCCGACGTGCTGCCCGAGCGCGTTTGGAGGCAGCAGCAGCTCCTCGCGAGGCGCCTTCGGAGGGGTGCCACACCCCTTTCCCAGCCGCGCGCGAGTTGAGCTCCGATTTGCGCTCTTTTTCGCACACGCCCGACGCTAGTAGGTGAGGATCGACCATCCTCCGCTAGCAGGGCTTCGTCGGGCGCGTCTTCGTCGAGCGGTGGTGCATCTCCCATGCTCCCACCCGCGCCCTCCTGGCAGCCCGCCCGCGGCCCACACCGACGCCCTCACGTGCTCACCCTAGTCGTAGGTGCGGTTTTTTTGCGTGCCCCCCGTCGATACGGGGCGCTGGGCGATGGCTGGGCTTGTCGCCGGGCGAGCTAGCCCCTCAGCCGGCCGCGGAGCGGAGGTGCGAAATCGAGGCGGCGCGGCCCCTGCGCGCAGCCTGTCCGGCCGGCGCGCGCATGGTTCCGTAGCCCGTCTAGTGCCTCACTGACCGACTCCAGCGCCACGGTGTACGTGGCCGGTGTGGTACTGGGGCTGGGCAGCCTTGGGGCCGGCGGAGACCGCCGTCTAGCGGTCGCACTAGTCTCTTTTCGTTGTTCGACCTGTTTGTTCGACGGTTGTTCGACCATACTTTGAGCCTTAATTATTAATTCATGTTTGGGTCCCTGAGGTCGATACTAGCGTCTGTAACTTGCCACAAGCGTGCTTTACAAAAGTCCAGCGGAGCGGGACTCGCAGAACGGCCGTCCGCGCGCGCTGTGAACAGTGCCATGGTCGAACGTTGTTCGACGACGTCGAACACGTAGCGAAAGAGAGACCGTCTGCGTACGAGGGTTATGGGTTTCTCCTGCCGCGCACATTGTCATCGACTTGTATCCGACTTGGTGGCTGTGGTGATGTAGCGATGGTGTGGGTCTCTAGTGACCTATACAGCTCCTCCGTGTTCCGTCTCCTGACAAAGAGCACCTGCTCCTACGGACGAAAAGAGAAATACCTCTTTGCCGAGAACTCCTGACACCTCGACTTCGCATGGCGGGTGATGAACCGCCTCCCGTCGTCACGAACGCCAAGCGCGGGGCTGCGCTGGCGGCGGTCGTTCTCCTCTTCATTGCCGGCGTCACTCTGGCTTTCCGCCCGGTGATTCAAGACGGCGATACAATTGCCATCCGGTGCTCACTCGAGAGATGCGAAAATAGACACACCACCTCTTTGCGATGTGGAAAGGCGCACCCGTCCCACGCGTGAGACGCCTCGCCCGCACCGCCACAGGAGCGTCCACACGGGAAAGTACCTCGCGCTCGGTTCCGACGGCAAGCTGCGTGCTTCGGCTGCGACGTCTTCGCTTCCGGCGGCGCGTTTCCGGCTGGTCGCGCTGACAAAGACGACGGTCGCCACCTTCAGGAAGCGACCGGTCGCTCCGCTGAAGGAGCACGGCAAGCTCGGCTGCGACTGCACCGGCGAGACGGACGAGCACGGCTTTGGCCGCTACTGCCACAACTGGGAGAGCGAGTTCCACCGGCCGTGGTAAGCTGCTGCCCCGACATGCACACGGGTCTGACCCGCGCGACACACCAGGGGGCGGCCTGGTACCGCACGATGCATCTCCGCGCACCGCTCCTCTCCGTTCCCTCTCTCCTACGTCTCTCTGACCTTGTGCCGCCCTGCCTCCCAAGCCGTGAGCCTGCTCCAGCTGCCAGCAGCTATCGCTGCCAGCCTGCTCTCGCTGCAAGCTCCGACCCCGTGCAGGTGCTACGTCAACGGGACGTCGTGCAAGCAGGGCCTCCGCTCCAAGCGGCACAGCAGCCGCCACCTGCAGGTCCGTATGCTCTTGGTATTCTGGTTCAGCTCAGCCGCCGCCACGCGCATCCTCCTCTCTTCACACACGACCGCCCCTCCCTGCCCTATCCCTGCCCCTCCTCGCCTCTGCTCCCCGCCCCCCACTCCGCCGCCGCCCCTCGTCACCAACACCGCCCCTCGCGCCCGTCCCGACCGCCCTCCCCGCCCCCCGCAGGTCTGCTCGCAGGAGGAAGGCTACCTCGGCCCGGAAGGGTGGGAGCCGGCGGCGGGGTGCGCCTGCTCTGGCCGCGAGTCGGTCCACGGCCCGCGGGGAGGTAGATGCTGCGTGCTGCACACCGGCCGGCGAGGAGACGCCGCTTCGGCTGTGTTCCCGTCGCATCCACGCCCCAGCGGCCCCCTTTCGTAGCACTCACACTGCAGACCCACCCTCCACTCTTCCGCGTGCCTCGCTCTGAAAAACCAGGCTTCGGAGGCTTCTGCCGTGGCTGGGAGTTCGTGGGGCAGACGCCTTGGTGCTACACGAACAACGACTGCCCGGACGCCACCGGGCCGGAAGGCGCAAAGTACAAGGATTGCATCCAGCTCGCCCAGCCGCCTCCGCCGCCCTCGCCGCCGCCGCCGCCGCCCGCTCCGCCGCCGCCGCCGAGCCCTCCGCCGGTCAAGATAGTCGAGTCCAAGGGGGGGTGGGGGACGCCGGAGCAGTGCCCTTGCTCTGGCTGGTCGAGCAAGCACGGCTTCGGGTCGTACTGCAAGGGGTGGGAGCTCGAGGGCCAGACTCCGTGGTGCTACGTCACCGAGGCGTGCCCGACGACCATGACGGCGGGCGGCGCCTCCGACCCCCTCCTCTAACACACCTCTAACACACCTCTAACACACCTCTAACACACCTCTAACACACCTCTAACACACCTCTAACACACCTCTTAACACACCTCTAACACACCTCCGAGGCACCTCCGAGGCACCTCCGAGGCACCTCTCACGCTGAGGCACCTCCGAGGCACCTCAAAGGCACCTCCGAGGCACCTCTCACGCTCGCGACCGCAGGCGGGCGGCAGCTTCGCGCACCGCTACATCCAATGCACCGAGGTCCAGAACACGCTCTCCAAGCTCCTCGGCCGCCGCCTGCAGAGCAACGGCCCCGCCGCCACCGCGAGGAGCAAGGTGGAGAGTCTCCCGCGGCCGCCCTCCTCAAAGCCACCTCTCCCCCATGAATCTTCTCCATCGTCTGCAAAGATGGGTTCTTTGTGCCCCCGCCCCCCCCCCAAAAGGGGTGGCGTGGGATCCCCCCCCCCCCCCCCCCCCCCCTCCTCTGCTCGGCGCAGCTCCTCAACGCGAGCGCCAAGAAGCCAAAGGCGCCCGGCAAGCCCGTCAAGCACGCGACGGCGCGGCTGAAGACGCCGCTGTTGCCGGGCGAGAGAGAGCGCCCGCGAGGCGGGACACGTCGACGACAGCCCCCCCCCCCGACAACTCCCGGCGCGGCCTGTAGGCAAGGGCGTGCCCAAGAAGCGGCCGGTCCGGCACGAGGCGTCGTGGGCGGCGGCGAAGAGCCTGCTCCTCCGCAAGGCAGACCGGCTCCCCCTCTACGCACTCCAGTCCACCGAGAACGGACGCTTCGTCGACGTGGACCCGCCGCCTGACAAGGAAGAGACTCGCCGAGAGTCGCCGAGAGTCGCCGAGAGCGACCCGCCGCCCGACAAGGGCACCCACTTCTGCCTCTCTCCTCACCTCTGCCCCTCCCCTCACGTCGCTCTCACTTACCGCCTCTCCTTCCCTGCCGCCTCTCCTTCCCCCGCCTCCCCCGCCTCTCTCACCCGCCCGCGCCCCTCGCAGTTCGCTCTCTTCGCGCACGCCGACTCGACGTCGCTCTCTCTCTCGTCCGTCTTCGCGCTCCCGTCCAGCGGGAGGGGCAGCCTCCTCCACCTCGCACCCGTGTCGAGATCGCCCGAGACCACACCGAGATCACTCGAGATCGTCCGAGACTAGGCAACCTCATCTCGCTCGGAACCGAGGCGTTCGTCAGCCTCTGCCAGGACCTGCAGCACCTGCCTCCCAGCCTGCCACCGCCCGCCCGCCACCGCCCCATCCCGCCACCGCTCCCCTCGCCACCGCCGCCGCCGCCGCCGCTTTCGCCCTCGCCACCGCTTTCGCCTTTGCCACCGCCGCCGATTCCCGCCCCTGCCGCCTCTTCCACTCCCATCCGCCAGCCTGAGGGCGCTTACTCATCGACGGCGCCTCTTCACACCTCCCTCCTTGAGCAGGACAACGTCGGCCTCGAGTGGGCCGCGTGCACCGCGACCCCACCGATCCTAAAGGCGTGGCGCACCAGCCGAGATGGCACGAGATGGCACGAGTTGATCGGAGGCGCCCCTCCCCCCCCTACCGCCTTCGGCCTTGAGTTGCTTGTCGCTCCGCCCCGATCACACAGGCGCCAAGGGCGATCGAGCCTTCGCTCGCGTCGGCGCACCACCGCAAGCTGCTCGTGCACCTGCCCTATTCGGGCTCGGCGCTATCCATGCAAAAGGTTGCCGCGTTCGAGCTGGTGCGCCTCTCGCGCACGTGAGGTGCGTCGCGCTGCCAAGGGGTAGAGAGGAGAGGGGAGTGAGCCTCGCCGGAGTGTGCCAGCGCCTCTGAGCCTCAGACTGAAAACTGAGCATGGCCGGTGCGACATAGTTGCCATCGCAAGGCCATGCACTATTCAGAATGGGACGGCTGCCGAGGGTTGGACTTGGAGGGAGAGTGCGGCAGAAAGTGGGAGCTGGGAGGAGCGAGATCGAAGATCGTGAACAAGCAAAGTTGCGGTTCGGGTGTTGTGACTTGTGTGTTCCTTTTTATATGCTATATGCGGACATCTTATACATGGCCTTGACGCTTGAGAAACTACTAAAACTAGATCTAGAATGTAGAAAATGGTAGAAAACTCTTCGCTGCGCCCTGCGGCTGCGCGCTCCCCCGTCCCCGGCATATCCCGCGGAGCTCTCGGACCTGGTCACCTGCACCGTCGGACCTCGATCCACGCGTCTCTCGTCGGAGGAGCGTGTGTCGCCGGCGCACCACCGCAAAAGAGCCGACACGCGTGAGTCGACACACGACAGTCGAGACGCTATATACCACACGCTAACGAAAATCGCGCCGGAACTGCTGCATCAGTGGTCACAGATCGTCGCAGGTCGCACATAGGAAGTGCAAACAAATAAGAACAATACGTCACTCGTGTCATATACCCCACTCCGTCGGGTCGCGATCGCAAGGGATATCTTTGGGAGGCCTCCCGCCGGTGCCGGTGCCGCCCGCGGCCGCGCCGCCGCCCCCGTCCCGCACATACCTCCATCGCAAGCTCCACCGCCCCTCGAAGCCGCCCAGCGAGCGGTAGTCTCGCCAGTTGTCGTGCGACCTCGCCAGCGGGGCGCCGTACGCGGACGACGGCACCGGCGGCGACTGCGGGAAGCGTGCGGGCGGCGGCGGCGGCTGTTGCGGAGACTGCGGGAAGAGCTGTGCGTACAGCGCCTTGCGCAGCTCGACGCGGCCGAGGGCACCCGTCTTGCGCCACTCGCGCTGCGCGAGGAGGATGAGCGAGCAGCCGAGGAGGCCGACGAAGTGGTTCGCCAGCACGGCGCGGTCACCCGCGAGGAAGCGGAGCGTCGTGCCGACCCGGACCAGCGAGCCAATTAGTCGGAGCCGAACCTCTGCGAGGGTGGCGTCGTACTGGCCTGTGCGCCGCGTGTCGGCCACCTGCCCGTAGTACGAGACCACCGACAGCGGCACCGTCCACCAGCACAGCAGCGGCAGCAAACGGGCGGGCACGGCGCCAAACGGCAGCCACAGCAGAGCCGCCGCCGCGGCGGCAAGCAGTGCGCCCTCGCCCAGCGCCTTGCGCGCCGGCCGAGCGCCCGCGCCCGCGCCAGGCTCGGGGCCGGCGAGGCTGAGGATCGTGAGAGATCGCAGCCGGCGCGTGCGGCAGAGCAGGAAGCAGGCGGTGTTTTGGAGAAAGAGGACGAGCAGCTCCGACCAGCACCACATGTTGTACGCCATACGCGCGTGGTAGGCGGCGCGGGAGGCGTACACCAGCGCATCGACGTACAGCACGCGGGCGCTGCGCCCGGCGGGCGCGGTGGCCGCGCCGTGCCGTCGCGCGAGCCGCCAGATTTGAGGGAGGGCGGCGCGCGAGCGCGTCGCAAAGGCTGCGATCAGCATGGGGAGCAGAGTCGCGACGAGGGTGAGCCGGCACGTGAGCGCGGAGCAGACGGGGCCGACGACGTCGCCAACGATCGGGTCGGCGGCCCACAGGACGGCGTCGGAGAGGGCGCTCTGGTAGGCGGTCGGCGCAAGGGCGCGGCATCCGATGGAACTGGGCGAGAGGAGCGGGCGCGGCTGGAGCGCGAGGCTGCGCATCGCAAGCAGCAGCGTGAGCAGCGGAGGATGGGCAAGCTGTGCCTGTCAGCGGCGTGACACCCCTGCGGCACCCCAACCGCCTGCTTTTTTATTTTTGCAGCACTCGCACTCTTGGAGCTTCGGCACAACGGGCTTCTCTCGTCTCACTCCTTACCGCTCTCTTTGCTTTTTTGTCTACGACCCACGTCCCACGAGAAGTCGAGATACAGCATACAGGGTACTAGGCTCGACAAAAACCAAAGCAAGAGAGAGAGAGGAGAGAGAGAGAGAGAGAGAGAGAGAGAGAGAGAGAGAGAGAGAGAGAGAGAGAGAGAGGAGAGAGAGAGAGAAAGTCTGAAAAAAGAAAACCAAGCACCCCGGGGTGCCCAGCGAGTGTGGCTGCCGTGGGGTGAGGTCGGTCAGCGACACCGTCATCGTAGCGCCGCCGCCAAACTCCTTGATGCTCAACCTGCTCGTTCTCTCTCCGCTCTCGCTCGCCATGGCTCCTCGCGCTCCCGCCGAACTCAGCACGCGCGCCCGGGCCCACCTCATCCCGGAGCAGGATCTGTACACAACGACCGACCTCCGCATTGCGCACGCCCACCGCTGCGAGTCTCCCCTTCGAAACCCGTCGCCTTCGTCCGTCATCACGTCCTGGCCGACCTCCTCCTCTCCGGCGACGCCTCCCTGGCCGGCGCAGGCCATGTCGGCCAGGGCTTCGCGGCTCCTCTCGCCGGCCCACCGCCTCAGCGTGATGTCGCCTCAGGGCATCACTGTCTTCGGGGCGGGCATAAACATCCTGCTCTCCGCCCTCAAGCTGAGCGTGGGCGGCGTCGCGGGCAGCGCCAGCCTCGTAGCCGACGGCGTCCACTCCTTCTCCGACCTCGTCTCGGATGCCCTCTGCTGGGTTGCGGTTCAGGTCCCCAGCTTTGAGCACGCCTTCACGCTGGGCATCGCGGCTGTGCTCTTCTCCACCGGCGTGGGCATGGCCGCGATCGCACTGCCGGCGCTCTTTGCCGCGAGCGCCGCCTCTGCCGCCACCACGAGCCTCGTCGGCGCCATACCGGCCCTCTCGGTCGCGCTCGCGTCGGTGGCGTCAAAGGAGCTGCTCTTTTGGCTCACGCACGCGGTGGGCACGCGGCACCGCTCCCCCTCGATCCTCGCCAACGCGTACCACCACCGCTCGGACGCGCTCTCCTCGCTGGTCGCCGTCGCGGGCATCGTCGGCACCGCCGTCGGCTGGGCGCGCATCGACTCGCTCGCCGCGTCCGTGGTTGGCCTCATGGTGGCTGGCATGGGCTTCGAAGTCGGGCGCGACTCGCTGCGGCTCAAGCTCGCGCGTTGAGGGAGCGGCCGTTCCGCGCTCGGCGGCCGACTCTCTGTGCACTAGCGTCCAACAGCCCGTCGGTTATGATCGGAACTCGAGTGTAGCGCCACTCTGACTCTTTGGCACTGCCGCGGTCATGAGATGTGACCTCTCTGTCAACCCAGCCTCTTGGCATGCTCCATTCTGATTTGTGAAACAGCACAAAAGCCACAGCTACGGGTGGGCTCGCGGATGGGGGGGGGGGGGTAAAGGGCTATGACATATCACGTTCACGAGACACGACCACACACCTCTGCAACCTCGCTCGCTCCTCGGGTCCTTGGTGTCGGTCCTCGCGGTCCTCGCACCACGCGACGCACGTCGGACGTCGGACGTCGCGCACCTGCAGCTGCACGCTGCGCACCTCTCTCTGCACTCTGGGTCTGTGTGGCCACACTAGTAGTACGTAGTAGTTAGTACCAGTAGTACTAGAGAGAGAAGTAGAACGTACACACGCAAAACACCTCACGGGTCGGTGTTTGTACTTTTAGCTTACTGGGCAGCCCCTTGGAGTGTGAAGGCTTCGTAGCCCTCCGGTCTACTGAGCAGGACTGGAGCGAAAAAAAGCAGGCGAGTGCTTACTGGGAGAAGAGGGAGAGGGGGAGTTACGCGCGCACACGGACGCACGCTGCCACTCTCACGTCTCAGCACGTGCACAGCCACGGATACGGTCTACGCACTACTCGCATGATGCCGCCTCCTTGGCTCAGACACGGGACACCTCGTTGAAGCCCGCCGCCGCAGCGTGGGGGCCATAGAGCTCCATGGTGACGGCCTCACATCGGCGGATCGCCTCGTGCAGCTGCTCGCCGTGCCAGAGGTGCGCCACCGTCGCAAAGGTATCCACTAGCTGACGCGTCGCAAACGCCTTGTCGTCGTACCTCGCGGCCTGACGCAGCCGCGAGGCGAGCGCGCTCCGGATGGTGCGCAGGCTACCGCTCCTGCGCGCGTGCAGCTCGTCGCCGGCAAAGGGCTTGAGGAGTGGCACTCGCTGCCGCAGGGCGCTCTCCACGAAACGAAGCCGGATCAGGTGCTCGCGGTGCAGCGACACGATTTCGGCGGCGGCGGCGTCGCCGTTCCCCTCCGCACCGCCGCCCGCCGTCGACTCTTTGACTCTATCCGAGAGGACAGGGACGCCCTCCTTCTCGAGCGGACCCGGCTGCGTGGGTGGCGTCGGCGGCGACGCCGCCAGCTGTGCTGCCAGGCCGCTCATGAGGAGTTGCACGTAGTCGTACGCGCGGAAGAGGTGGGCGTAAAGCTGCATCGCCTTGGCCGGCGAGTAGTGGGCCTGCGGCTCCAGATTGACCTCCTTGCCCGAGGCCCACAGAAAGACCATCAGCTCGCCGCGCCGCGCGAGGAGCTGCGCCCGCCGCATGGCTAGCTCCTGTTCGAGGAAAGGGAGGTTAGCCGAGTTATGAACCATTGTCGGCCTGTGCCCGAAGTTCAGCCGAGAAACGCTACGGGGAGACGAGCACCTGCACGAGGAGCCTCGCGCGTGCGATCGCCGCCGCGGAGTCCTTCTGCGTCGCGCCCCCGCGGCGCAACTCGTTGGCGTGGACCAGGGCGGCTTGGCAGGTCGCGGCGACCTCCGCGAGGGCGTTCGAGACCGAGGCGTACCCCCACGTCGGGTTGATCAGGCTGCACGTGAGGAAGGCCATACAGAGCCCCGTCGCTGCTCCAAGCAGCTCGATGCTCACTGTCCTGGCGTACACGGCGAAGCTAACGAGCTGCGCACCATTCTGGCCGCTCGGGGTGAGCTTCTTGTTGGTCGCCGTTACCCACATGATGACCGTGATGTACGCCGCGTACGACATGCTCGGGTAGGCGGCCACGAAGAGGCAGCAAGCGGCCTGCAGCAGCCCCTGGAAGAGCACCATCCCTCCCAGCAGCAGAGGGTCGCTCAGGAACTCCTCTGCATCGCGCAAGCCGGTGTCAGTCGGCGCGCCGGAGCCGATGTCTCCGCCGCTGTCCTGAGCGGCGGCCGTCCCCGTGGAGACGAAGAGGCCGTACCAGACAAAGGCGAACGCGACGGCGACGAGGTTCCCCGCAACCTTGGCCACGGCCTTCCACCCGAGCGCGCCCACTTGTGGGCTCACGCTGAGCGTCACGACGGAGGCGATGGCGGAGACGCCGCCCATTTTGACATAGACGGGGTTGGCCCACTCGAAGAAGCCCCACATGCTCGTGAGCACGAGGGCGAGCGCCACTTTCCACGCCGTCGTCGCTCTCTCGGACGACAGGAAGGCCATGAAGCTCCGAAGCAGGTGCCGGTGCCGCGACACCGGCGCAAGAGGCGACGCGACGAGCAGATCCGACGCAGCCCGTGGGCGACGCGGCACTGGGCAGGTGGCGGCCCACTCCGCTCGAAGCGCGGCCCACCCAGCCGGTGAAAAGATGGAGACTTCCGGCTCACCCACGAATGCCTTTCCCGCTGCGGAGAGGCGCGTGGTGGCGGCCCGGAGGCTTCGCAGCGTCACGTGGAAGGCGGCCGCTTGATGCGCAGTCACGAGCTGCTCGATGGCGTCGTCCGACTTATGGGCCACTCGACGCAGCGCCGCGCCGAGCGCTTCGTCGAGGCTCTCGCTGAGGCTCTCCCCAACGGGGAAGGGAGGCGGCAACGGTTCGGCAGGCTGAGTGCCTTTGGCGCCGCCCGTGCCGAGCGCCGTCGCCAGGTCGGTGATGGCGTTTCGGCTCTCTTGCAGCGTTCGCTGGCAAGCGGCTTGCAGCGGCTCGTCCGCGCCCAAGTGCTTTGACATCGTGTGGCCCGCCTGCGCTGCGGCCGTCGCATTCTCGAGCGCGTGGCCGACCGCCACCTGCACGGCCACCTGGAGCTGAGACGCCAGCTGCCCCCGTCGCGGTGAGAAGAAGCGCCACTCGAGCCGTGCTGCACCGAGGGCGGGGCTGAGGGCGGCCAGCTGGCCGCGAATCGTACCCATGCTCTGGGCCAGTCGGGCAGGACTGTCGACGTCCACCCGCCTGGCCGAGGTAATGATGGCACGGGCGGCAACGTCGTCGAGCAGCTTGGCAGTGCTGCTCAGCACGGCAGCGGTACCTCGCCGCCACTTGACGCATCCAAAGTCTGGCAGTACGAGGCCGTGAACACCACACGCGACCGCGATGCCGAGTGTCGCCGAGGTTAGGACCGACGTGATGCTCCCCGTGAGGACGACCCACTGCACGTGGAATTGCAGCTCTCTAGTCGGGTATTTTTCGGACCACGGCGGCGCCTGCGAGTAGGGAATGAAGGCAAAGAGGTACGTCATGAGCGCACACACGACGCCGGCGCCGAACCAGGAGGAATCCCACGAGGCGATTGCGCAGTAGAAGACGGCCAGCACCGATGTCCACGCCATCAGCGCCTCCGGGTGGCCGCGGCTGCTGGCAACCATTGCCATCGCCAAGACGCTGCACAAGCACAGCAGCAGGAGGAACTTGATGGAGCCGTCGATCAACTTGCCGTACTCGCTCGGCCCGATATTGGGCTTGAGGGTGGAGTAGGTGAACACCCACGCGAGCGAGCCCAGAGTGCCACGCGTGGGTAGACCGAAGGGGTCACACATGCAGAGCGAGAAGATGGCCGCGCCGACGACCGTGGTCGTCACGGTTCGCACGAGCGTTGGCTGGCGCAGCTTGGCCGACAGCGCCTCCATCATGCTCGGCGTGGGAGGCGAGGTGGTGGTGGCGGTCTTCATCGCTGGTCCTCGCTCTGGACATTGTCGAGTCGTGCGTCCTTGATGGTGTGAGTACTGTCATCAGCACGAGAAACAAAAATCGACCTTCGATCAACGGCAGTCGCGGACACGCAACACAACCTCTTCGGAAAAACTTTTTGACAGATTCTCTCTTTCTGTCTCTTTGGCGTACCCCAGAGACTCGAGCTCCGAAAGAAAGAAAGAAAGAAAGAGAACCCAAAAAAGAAAGAAAGAAAACAGATATGTCGCGTCGTTCTCTTCTGCCTCGTCCTGCAACCCAAGGGAGGGATGGTTTCAGCAAATTCCTTTTGCTGCGCCATCGCGTTGGTTGCGGCAGTGAGCGCTGTCAGAGCGGTGTTTCGACACCAATATCGTTCGAGGAACGCTGTTCTTCGTGGCGCTGTTCACGCTTCACAGGTTAATGTGCGCCCTGTCGGTGCTGTGCACTCTCTCAATGTCGCTGCTGCGTCCCACGGCAACGTCGCATGCATCATCCTCTATGATGGCCACACCTCGCGCAGCTGCGACGTTGATGGCTGGCGCGGCGCCGTACGACTACACGCTCCTCACCCTGCAGCCGACGTACACAATCCATGACTGGCCGGCCACGCAGCGAATCATGGACGAGTACGTCGCGGAGACCAAGGCGGAGAGGGGCCTCACCTTCTGCGGCTACAGCACGACCCGCTCGAGGCGCGACAGCACCGTCGTTGGCGATTTTGCGGAAGAGCCAGGGGACAAGCTCTTCTGTCGCGACGCCTTTCCCGACGCAGGCGGCCGACTCCCACTGCCGCACGCCTCCGCCACCCACTTCACGCCGCTGCACGCTTCCACAGCACCCGCATTCCCGTCAGATTCGCTGCTCGCGCACCTGTCGAACGTGGAGCCGCAGCGGTCCGCGCTGCTGCAGGGGCCCGCCTCCCTCGACGGCATCGAACTGCACGGCCCCGCCGCCGAGCTGCGCAAGTGCGAGGACGCGCCCGCCCTGCAGGTGGGACCGCCCTCCCCTCTGAAGCATTGCTGCACCTCTTTCCCACTCGCCTCACCTCGCCTCACCCCCGCCAGGGTGCGAGGCTGTTTGAGGTCGACTGCGGGCTGAGCCGGCTCGAGAAGGAGAGCGGCGGCATGCCGCTGCCGCTCCAGCTGGTCAGTCTGCACACCTCCTTCTCCCTCGCCGACGCCGACGCCGCGCGCGCCATCTGCAAGGAGATTGTCGCCACGACCGCCGGCGAGGAGAACTGCATCTATCACGGCTGGACCGTCTGCGGCGACACACTCACGTGCCGCGAGGCGTACGGGAGCGCGGTGGGGCTGGCGCGGCACTGCGAGGGCGTCGCCGCCTCGATAGAGAGGCTGCTCGACGGCCCGGCCACGCTGCGGGAGGGGCAGCTCCACGCGTCGCTCTCGCAGCTCCCCGTCCTAGCGGAGTTCGTCGAGGAGAGGCGGCGCGAGACGGGCTACTGCAGCCGCGAGACGCAGCGCTTCTTCGCGGCCGAGGGTGGCTTCTCGAGGTACGAGGTCCAGCAGTCCATGTTCGGCTTCTTCCTCCGTCGCTGATTCCGCATATGTTGCCCCTGTTGTGGCCGGCACGACTGCTAAGGTGTTGATCTTGAGACATGAGAGAGAGAGAGAGCATGCACGATGCACGTGCTTGTGCTGCATGCGTGGCGTGATTTGTTCACGCTGCAAACGCCGATTCCGTACCATGTACACGCACGTAGGAGCTAGAACGAGAAGTTCTGTTTTTTACAATTTTAGCGGGGGTTGACGAACCTTACCGCACCGGTTACAGCTGTGTGGTGGCGTTGGTTCGATACCCTCAATCCCCAATCCCCATGCCGCATGCGCGGCCATGCCCAAAAACTGGATACAGAGGACCACGATGCAGTGACGTGACACACACACACACACACACACACACACACACACACACACACACACACACACACACACACACACACACACACACGACGAGACAGAGTGGGCGGGCAGTCCCCGTGGCTGCTAGCAGTCGCGCTTCCGAGCCGACTCCGCCCCTCTCTCCACCCGGCCATTCCAACGGCCAGGCCGCTCGCTTAAGGCTGATTGGCTAGACGAGCGGCCTACCTCCAACGGGGTAGTCTGGCAACGCGTGGATCCGGCCCGCCTCGGCGGGTTACGGTGCGTTTAGCGCGACGACCGGGCGGGAGCTCTGATCGCCGTACTCACCGGGACGCTGGTGAGGTGACGGTGGGGGGGCACCCCCCCAGACAGCCCCTCCCGACGGGGACGCCATCACCCTCGCCCAGGGATCTACAATGCTGTCCTAAGGTCCGACCTGTGGGCTCTGCCTGCGCTCGGCACCGGGCACCGCCTCGGTATACAAAATGCGCCTGCGGGCGGACCCTCACAGATCACAGATCACACACACACACACACACACACACACACCGCTCACACCCACGCGCACTGGGCCTTGCACTTTGGAATGCCGTGGGGCTCCTGTCGTTAGACGTGGAGACGCGAGGGTCGCCCCGCTCCCCCTTGCCCCACCACCTCGTTCGTGTGTGTGGAGAACTAACTGATCGCCGCGCGTGCTCTCGTTGAAAAACGTGAAAGTGAAACATCGGGAGACGCGATTCAGACAGCTTCTCTGAATCACGGTCTGAAGGATCGGCTCATACACGTAGATCTTCCTAGAGGTGTAGGAAGGTAGGTGAAGAACAGTCTGGCTCGGACTGGACACCAACGCGGTATGGGTGGACGCGGGACAGAAGAGGACGAATCTTCCTTGAGGAGCTGACACCCTCCCCCACCCCTTCTATCCTTCTGTACCGCCCTCAACAAGACTTGTGATTGCGACTACCTCTCGCCGGTCGGAGATCGCTGCTCAAACCACGCCGAACGTGCGAGTTTCGGGAGCAAGCACAAGCGCGTGACTCGGGAACGCCGAGCCACAAGGTCGGGGAACATGGCGAGTCTTCGCACCGACTACCTCAGCCTCGACGGCGGGAGGCGTAGCCTCAATGCGCTGTCACTGGTCGCCTTTGTCTCCTGCGCCGTCTCGATCGCCTGCTCCATCTATACCAGCTCCGCAGTTGCCACACTCGCGCCGGCCAAGCCGTCGGCGCTCTACTCCGAGGACCGCGGCCGGCACGGTCGCGACTGGGAGGAGGAGTTCCGCTACATGTATCGGCCTAGCGGCGAGGCGGCGCCGCCGAGCAAGTTCGCGCTCCCCCTCATCACCCCGATGCAGAACCAAAAGCAGAGGGGCTCCTGCTGGTGAGAGCACGGCCCCAACGCGCGCATTCCCGCCAACGCGCGCATTGGCGTGCCGCACTGACGCCGCGCCTCTGCAGGGTCTTCTCGATTGCCGGGGTGCTCGAGCACTCGTACCGCAAGTTCGCCGTCGATAATGGCTGGTTCGATCCCGACGAGTACCTGAGACTCTCCGAGCAGGGTATCGGGGCGGCCATCGTGCGCGCCTGCAGGCACGGACCGAGCCCTCCCCCGCCCAACCCGACCACGACGCTGGCCGCCCTGCCTGCCAGTGCCCGCCTCACATCGGCCGAGGCCGCCACCGCCCAGTCCCTCTCTGCCGAGCCTGCCGCCTCCGTCACCACCGGATCTCCACCTGCACCCTCGCCGCCTCCACCCCTGCCCCCGCCTCCACCACCCTCCAGGAAGCTGCCCGAGGTCTGCAAGACTGGCGACGGGGACAGTGCGTACACGGGCAATTCGACCGAGGGCGGCGAGCCGGAGTGGCTGTACTACATGCAGCGGCGCGGCGGCCCAGAGGAGGAGTAGCGGCGACCAGCCCGTGTTGGGCGACATTAGCCCGCGCCCCTCGCAGGTACATTTCTGACACTGTGGCGCTTCCCTGGTCGGTCTGCCCGTACAACCCGAAGCACTCGATCAACGACACGGTGTGCACCGCCTACAGGCGTGCCCAACTTACCGATCGCGCAGTGACCCCTCTCGCCCTGCACGTTTCAGGTGTGCGCTGACGAGAAGCTGCTCGAGGCATCACCCCTCTCGCTGCGTGTCGCGTCGCTCCACACCTACTACGAGCTGTCGGAGATGAAGGAGGCTCTCGTGAAGCACGGACGCGCGATGGGCTTCTCGTTCGCCTTCTTCAACCGCGCTTATCGCCTCCCCTGCACCGGCGAGATGCACCCGCTGCTCGGGCGCTGCGACCCGGACAAGGCGCAATGTGTGCCGTGCCCGCTCGAGCCCAACTTCGAAAACGTCGAGTGCTGCGTGCAGGCCGGCTGTCGTCCCCATCCCAGCGCCTCGCGCCCTTGCCGCCTCACTCCCTGCGCGGCCTTGCTTCCCTGCCTCGCGGCGCTCGGACTGCCTCTCGTGCGTCACGGCTGGTCCGCCTCCTTCCCTCCCGGTCTCACGGCCCCCCGCCCCCTCCAGATGTCGCGCACGGGGTCGTCGATGCATGGCGAGTTCTACGGCGGCCGCACGCCGGACTCCGACTACAGCCAGGAGGGCGGCCACGCGGTGCTGCTCGTCGGCTATAACGACAACTACGTCTCGCCAACTGGCATGGTGGGCGGCCTGATTGTCAAGAACTCGTGGAAGGACGGCGTTGGCGCGGGCTCGCACACGATCGACTACCTCATGCAGCGCCACTCGCCGATTGCGGAGCGCAAGGTCTGCCCCAACGTCCACCTCCCCGACTCGTGGTACCCGTGCGGCTCGCTCCACGAGTGCTCCTCGGAGAAGGTCCGCCGCCCGCCCTACGCTCCGGCTGCGCTGCGCCACACCTCTGGCCCCACACGGCTCTACCGGCCACCTCGGCTCGACCCGCAACCATAGCCAGCCCATGTCAAGCGCAACTTCGCGCGATTGGCATGCCTTTAGGTCAGGATCTCGGCCAAGGCGATGCACAAGGTCCTCCGCCTCGAGTGCAACAACGGCTTTGGCTTCGCGGGCGAGGGCAAAGAAAAGATCTGTGACGACGGCGACGAGTACTTCTTCAAGAATGTGACCAAGTTTGGCGGCGGACTATCCGTCTCGTGTTTCATCGCCGCGCGCGACGGCGCCGACCTCTGCCTCCCGCCCATGTGGTACGAGGACCTCACTCTGCTCTTCTCGCCTGTCGAGGCGCCGCCAAACCCGCCGCTGTAGTCACCGCCACAACCCTGCCCCCGCCGCCATCGCCACCGCCGCCACCGCCGCCCGCAGGGGGAGAAGCGAGAGAACGACGCCGACCAGTGCGGCTTCTACTTCTTCCCGTACGAGTCCTTCCGCTCGATCGCCGCGACGCAAGACACGCCGTGGGCCACCGATCTCGACGTGCACTGGGACCTGGGCTCCTTTGCAAACGCACCGCGCCACTACCGCCGCCACGGCAAGGTGCCCGTGCAAACCGGGCCGTCAGCGTGCACCTTGAACACCGGCGCGTGGTACACCCCCCCCCCTCCCCATTTCAGGATTACTCCCTCCTCGAGAAGGACACGCTCAGGCAGCGGCGTGACGACTTTGCGGGCCCCTTCCCGCGCCTCGTGCGCCCGCTCTAAGACGGCGTGGTGGTTTTTCGGGGGGTGGGGGGGGGGGGGGGGGAGGGTCACGCGCGCGAGGCGCGCGGGTGCGCCCGACTATGACGCGATGAAGCCGTCCGTGGGGCGTGTGGTTGTGGGGGCCGTCTCGAGCCATCCAGTCGGACCTCGGACGCTGCGGTCCCACCGTCCAGAGTGGAGGCGGTGTGCCGGAGCGGCGCGCTTGCGCAGTAGGCCGCGCTGGCCGGTTATTCACTTTAACTGACTCCGAATAACGGGCTGGCATAGCGTTGGGTGGTATGCACGTAACTTTCGTTTGCCCCTCTCTCTCCCGTCCGCGACTCACCGCTACGCACGTGTAAAGCCGTATAGAGAGCCGTGTAGTACGCGACGATGGTTTTGTATGTACACTATAATAACTCTCGTCGGATAAAACTCTGAAGGGAGGGGGGGCCGCGCAGATATGGGGGCTTTCACCGACACGAAGACAAAAAAATCGGTTTGGGCGGCGCATCTGCGACACGCCGGGCAGACGACGGTGAGGCGGAGCAGACGCGCAGGGCGAGACGAGGGAGGGAGCAGGACGTTGCGGAGATCAGCAGGGGTATGTACGAAAAGATTAGGAGCAGCAGGGACCCGAGGGACAATGTGGAAGACGGCTAGTGCTAGTCCCCCATCGGGAGGATGAGGCCCCGGCTAGTCGCCGACCACACCCACAAAGAACCCTGCACAAAGATCGCACGGGCGGGGACCTGTTCCTTTTTACCCATCTCACAGTAGAGAGGTGTCCGTTTTTATTTATTTATTATCTGCGATCTGGGCCTTCTTTAAGACTTAAAGATTCCTTCTTTCACTTTTGTTGTTTCGGACTTTTTAGTTTTTTCTTTGTCTGGGCTCTGGGTGGAACGCGAAGGCGCGGGACGGAGACACGTGTGCCTCACCACCACTCTTTTAAGCTTCTGGCTCTCGCTTTTCTTCGTGGCTATCTAAACTAGCGAGTGAGACCTGTCTATTTAAATGGGAGATCCGCACAAATTATCTGGGGCAGAGAAGTCAGAAGAGAGTGGGCATATAGCTTCACTATTAGTACAGGTATGTCGCTCTCTCTGGTCCAAGAGTCACCGACCCGACCTCGGATGCCACCATTGGAGTGGCAGCAAAGAGCGCTTGAAGCATGAGTTTCGCATCGCTCGCAAGCCCCAGCTCATCCTCGACGCCACAGCTAGCGCCCACGCCGATCGTCACACGCGCCGTCAGCAACTGATGCACGCACGGCGACACCACATAGGGCTCGAGGCTGGTCAGTTGGCCGGTTGGGCGGAAGCTCAGAAAGCTGAGGAACTCCATTGACCAAAACGAGGCGCTACTCGACTCGATAGCCGGTCCATTCAACAGGGGTGTCGGCGCTGTCAGTATCTTCGTCTGACCATGCATGTAGGTGAAAACGTCGCCTGGAACGTTGAGGACCCCAGATTCCTCAAGGCGGGAGGAGAGGATTTCCACTCCCCCGTCGAGTTCCGGCAAGGCAGCCTCCCAGAGCGTGCAAACCTGCCACTCGGAGCATGGCACATGCTCACCGAGGCGAAGGACGTAGCAACTGGTCGTGGCGTGACGGAACTGCAGCACGTGTGAGTTGTTCCGATGCCATTGCGCGCTCGCGGTTTCCATGTCAAGCATGTCTTCGAAGATGATGCCGTCTGAAGGCAACTGCATGACGAGCTGCTCGTGAGGACGTTCAGCGTGATTATCCCATAGCATGAAGCCCGAGCGTCGGCCAACAGTCATCAGGACGTGAACTTCTTCGAACGCCCCCGCCTCTATGTCCGGCGTTGACAGCATCCTCGGCATGCCCCGCCGCATCACAAATGCACGGCATAACCAACGGTTTCCGCTCAGCCCTAGGCTCAGCAGGGTCTCCGCCTCGTGAGGGCGCTCAATGTGCAAACAGTGCGCCCACGCATTCTCGCTCCCACGTGACGCGTTGCACCAGAACTTGCATGTCAATTCGAGATGAAGCACGTCTCTGAATGTGCACATCCCTGAAACGAGGATGTGCACCAACAGCTCTGGTGGGAGCAGAGACAGATGGTCGGAGCACCGGGTCTGAAGGCGCTCCAGCAGTGCCGCAAGCCGCTCGCAGATGGCTGGATCGATGTTGTCTTGGTCTCGTTCCGCCACGCTTACAAAGTGCTCGAGGTCATTGACGCACTCCAGGAGAGAACCGTGCATGCTACGTGCGATTGCGCAGCTGTGGACCGAGGTCACAGATAGCTCTGAGGGCTGCCCGCACGCGTATTTTTTCTCTTCAGCACAACGAAATTCTGTTTTTTGCTGATTTGGGGACCCAGCTCTCAAGCCCGAGAAACCCTTCGGTTCACTCCTCATCACAAACCCTGTCAGCAGTCCTCCTCCGGGAATGTACGTATTAAGAGCCACATACACTGCGCTGATTGGTAGGGCCCCCAAGGGCCTAGAAATCGCGCCTCCCTCTCTCTTGTCTCCCAGTAGCTAAAAGACGTACGTACATTGCACAAAAGTACGTCGATTGCAAAATTTTTCTCTTTCACTCACATTCTCCCGGTCGCAGCAAGTTTAGCCGGCCGTCCCTAGGCGCCCGCGTGTGCTCCTCAATACGCCGCATGGCCGCATGCTCCCAGCCCGGCGAGCTCACCACGTCGTGGGCGCCAGCCCCGCGCAGAGGGATTCGAGTTGCAATACTGGTCTCTGGAACTATGCGAGGCTGCGACCGGAACTCGGTGAGGGCCATGCTTCAACACGTGGTTGCTCCCAGCGGTCCTCTCGGAGTCGGCATCTACCTCTCGACGTACGCAGTCTCGGACTGCGGCACAGTGAGCCATCTAGAGCGGGCCGCCCCGACCCTGACGCATGTCGAGGAGAAGAATTTACCTCACCACGCGACAAATGGTGACGAGCTGCGCCGGCACTCCTCGTGCAGCGTCAACGCGACATGGCGACGCGGAGGGGCGGCACTCAGGGCGCTGCAGATCGGACCATTCCGCGAGGAGGAGGTGAAGCTGCCGCCGCATCGATTCGAAGGCACACGAGGCAAGCAAAAGCTTCTCGGACACGGCCTGCTAGAGCGGCTCGGCTCACAGTACCGCCTCCGGCGGCGAGTAGCGGCGCTGACGGCGGCCGACGCGCCGGAGGTTGCGTTGCTGGTGCGCCCCGACATGCAACCCTGCTCCACGTGGCAGTTTGTGGAGGCGGCTCCAGGGCAGTGGGGCGTGCGAGTACGCGGCTGCTTGAACGCGTCATTGGACTACATCAGGCTGAACACCACCACCATTGTGCTGCCGCGCTCCCGCAAGCACCCAGGGTTTATCGATGACACGATCGCGGCGGGGACGCTTGGCGCGATGCACCGGCTAGTCGCGTTCCATGCCGCGCTGCAACGTGGCATCTACTCAAACATGAGCATGGCCGAGCTGAGCGCAGCACTCGGGGACCGGCCAGGCGTTGAGCACGGCATCTTTGCAGAGGGCCTGCTCGAGATGCATCTGAGGCGCGCAGGCCTCCATGTGCGGACCACGGGCTTCGACAAGAAGCAGGCCGGACGGTGGGAGATGGGCGAATGTGTGGATCCGCTTGAAGCAGCCCGGCGTAGAAGGCGAGGTGCGGCGCAATCGACCAAAGTTCCCGCTTCACACGTCGCCGCGCCAGGGCCGTCGCTGAGTCCACTGCCCTCACCCCGGCGGCGCATTACGCCGCGCCCTCGCGGTCGGGCGAGTAAGCAGTAAGTCCGGCTCTTAAATGTGGACACTACGAGTGTGAATGCCACTCCAGGTCATCCAGCCCGGCGCCTTTGCCGGACTGCCACGTTACTGGCACGCATGCTCTCTTGCTACGGTGGCGCGTGCCAACGCACGACGCAGGTCGCAGCCTGCGCCTCACAAACTAGAACACTGCGCTGGGGGCGGAGCGGCGTGTTCTTTAAATGCTTTTTATCTCACACTGGGGCGACGTACACGGCTCTCTCTCTCTCTCTCTCTCTCTCTCTCTGTGTGTGTGTGTGTGTGTGTGTGTGTGTGTGTGTGTGTGTGTGTACACAAGAGAGGGCTCACTCATACAATCTTCGTGGATCGCGGTTGCGCTCCAAACGCCCGCGCCACCTTGGCGGCGCGGAGCTGTGCCAACTGTGCCGACCGACGCCGGCAAAAAACGGCTGCGACGGCTGCGACACCCAACGCCGCCGCCAGCCAAGCGCCGCCCCACCTCGCCGGCTGGTCCGGCCCAGAGCGCGGCAAACGCGTCGCGAGCTCTGAATCGGCCGCTCCCTCGCCGCCCGCCGCCGCCGCCGCCGGTCGGTCCGCGGCTTGCTGCCCGGGCGGCGAGCGCGCTGCGCCCCGCGGCGACAGCGGCGGCGTAACCTCCTCCTCCTCCTCCGGCTCGGGCGGCGGCGCGGCGAGCGGTGCGTCCGTCTCGTGCTCCGTCGGCGGCGGAAGCCCCTTGGAGAGAGTCGGGTCGCCAGGGAGGAGGTGGCTGGCGATCGGCGGCTGTGCGGTGGCAGCACCGCGCGAGAGCAGCTTGGCAGCCATCCAGCGGTCCCACGCGGCCAGCGCGTCGGGGTAGAGGGCCACGTCGAACTTGCGCGCAAACATAGAGGAGGAGCGGAACGCCTTTTTCGCGAGCGACGCGTTCAGCACCATCGGGCCGCCGTGGAACTGCGGCCCGACCGTCGCCCAATACTTGTTTGCGTCGCCGTGCATCTGCGGCCACTCGATGAAGCGCAAGTGCGACGGGATGACGGTGCGGCGCATCGGCGAGTTGATCGCAACCTAACTCACTCAATCGGACCCGTCAACGGATTCGTCAGGGCGATGGTGGCGGCGCTGCGCCAAGGGTCGCTGCCGTCTGCAGCAGCGCCTCGTCGGGCAGCAGCGTGTTCTCCATCGCCGCCTAATTAATAACGAATTAACTATTCATTAACTACTCATTATTAGCAGCGTGTTCTCCATCGCCGCCGTTGCGCGGCGTGCGGTGCGGTGCTCTGCGAGGTGCCGCACGAGGGAGAAGTGGAGCGAGGCCCACTGCGAGCCTAGTGAGTATTGACAGCTCCTGGCTCTAGAGAGCAGCTGTGAACACCAACAGGCTGCTCGCCGTGCACGACGGGCGGCGTGTCACGGTTGGCGCACCTGCAGCGTGCACTGGAATTGAGTGCAAAGCACGAGACACCATATACACTACGAATGCAGCGGAGTACAGCGAGTACAGCGGAATGCAGCTGAGTACGCGTCGGCTCGAGAGTGCTGACTTGAATGCGCGGATCCGGACTCCCCATCTAGGCTCGAGATATGGGGAGATATGGGGAGATATGGGGAGATATGGGGAGATATGGGGAGATATGGGGAGATATGGGGAGATGTGGAGCCGGACTCCCCATCTAGGCTCGAGATATGGGGAGATATGGGGAGATATGGGGAGATATGGGGAGATGTGGATCCGGACTCCCCATCTAGGCTCGAGATGTGGGGAGATATGGGGAGATATGTGGAGATATGGGGAGATATGGATCCAGACTCCCCATCTAGGTTGGTGGCGCACTGCAGCGGCAGCGCGGCGTACAGGATGGGTGGCGTGCGCGACCAGCAGCACTTGCTCTTTCCGATCACCTGCTTGGCCTCCGGCAGCTTGCCGTCGGGACGAGTCACCAGGAAGGCGGCGCCTGGGCGCAGCTGCCGGTGTGAAGAGGCGCTGTCACAGCTTGCCGTCACGAGCCGCCAGCGGCGCCTTCGTCGCACTCGACCCAGCAGTAGCCGCGGAATCCGGCGTGCATCTTGTACCTCCGCGGGTCGCGCTTGCTCTCGACGACGCTGAGGATGGAGCGGCCGGGGAAGGCGCCGAAGAAGCTTGCAATCTCCCCATGCGTGCGGACGGTCAGGTCCGCGTCGCCGAGGTTGATCAGGTACTCGAACCTGCGAGCGGCCGCGGGGAGGGCGTGAGGCCGCCGCCCTCCCGCGTGCGCGTCTGCGGCGCGGCCGGCGGTGGCGTGCTTGCAGCTCGCATGGCCGCTCCGATGATTGTGTGACCGGTCGTGCCTCGCTCCCTCGTGTGCACGCTCTGCGGCGCTGCTTGCAGCGCGGCGGTTGCAGGTGGCAGGGTCGCTGCGAGTCTGCTGGCGATGCGGCGGCTGAAGCGGCGGCGGCGGCTGTTGTGTGCACGTGCTGCTGGGTGCAGGTTGCTGCCGTGGCATCTACGGCCGCCAGACCGCAGCAGGCGGCGCAGCAGCGAGTGGATCGCGTCGAGCAGGACGAGCATCATGGACCAGCCCGCCCACACGACGTGGCGCCGCCGGCGGACAAAGTAGACGTCGGGGCGCGACGAGACGGCCGTGCGCAGCGCCTCCGCCGCGCCAGCCTCCATCTTGGCGTCGATGTGCACCAGAAAAAGGTTCGACTCTCTCGAGCCGCGCGAGGCCGCCTCGAGCGCGCCCGGCACCTGCAGCGCGTGCACGTTGCGGTTGATGGTCTCGTGGGCGTACGGCCGGCTCGCGAGCAGCAGGTACACGTAGCGGACCGCCGGACCGGACCGCACGGCGTCCGCGAGCGGCAGTGGCGAGAGCGGGTCGATGAAGAACTCAGGCAGCTGCGACTGCCGCCGCAGCCGCCGCTGGGCGGCGCTGTTGCACAGCCTGGAGAGGGAGGCGTTTGGGTCGAGCGGGTGGCCGGTGTAGTCGTGGACCTGGAAGGGAGAGCCATCCATCCGACAGCGTTTGGTTGTCCTTCCGCTCGCCGCTCCGTCGCAAGAGCAAAAAGAATTATGTCCGTTTTCATTTATAATTTTCCGCCGCGCCGCTCGCGCCGCCTCGCCTCCGCCTCCTCCACCGCCGTTCCCTCGCCAAGCACGGGCGTGCCTTTTCCCCGCCTCCTCCTCGACCTCCCCACGGTCCTCGTGCGCGCCTCTCTCGCTGCGACAGCCCCCTCACATCGCTGCTCCGTCGCGGCCGTCGAAGAAGAAGCTTGGAGGAACTTTATAAAAAAAATGCGTGCGGTTTCCTCCAACCGCCGCCTCGGGGGCCGGGCGAGAGCGGTGTCGTGCGCGCGCTGCCGGTGAGCTTGCCCCGACATCTTAATACATGTACGCCGCCCCGACCGAGGCGTCGTGGTCGAGGTCCGCCAAGCTGACCGAGTTCCAGCGCGTCAAGGAGGCCGTGCGTCGGCTCGAGCACACCGCGCGCGAGCAGCTGGCGCTCGAGCGAGAGAGCCAGAACGTCTTTGACTTCCTCAAGGCAGAGATCACGCGGATCAAGCGGTCGATCGGCGCGCTGTCGAGCGTGGTCGACGAGGAGCTGGTCTCTCTACGCGGCGAGTGCGCCGCGCTGCGCGACGAGGTGGCACGTGCAGTCGACCTCGCAAAGTCGCAGACCGACAGGTGGGCCTCTCACGCACTGCAGCTCCACCTCTCCTGCCCGCCGCCGACACGCCCTGGCACCGCGCCGGCTCACCTCCACCCGCCGCCCGCTCCCTCGCAGCGCCGTCGAACTCATCGCCGAGGCGCGCAAGCGGGACACCGAGTGGATGCAGACCTCCTTCTCGCAGGTCAAAGACTCGGTGGCCAGGCTCGAGGCGGAGTCCAAGGAGACGCGCAAGCAGCTGCTCGAGCTCGCCGCATCGCACGCCTCCGCCGCCGCGCGCCGCGAGGCGGACGCCGCGAGCAGCAGCAGCGCGCAGCAGCAGGCGATCGACGCGCTGCAGGAGCGGTTTGCAGAGCGAAGCGGGGCAGTCGAGGCGTCCTGCAAGGCGCTCGCCGCCGAGAATGGCACGCGGCGGGACGAGTCCGTCCACCTCGCGCGACTGGCGACCGAGGCCAACACGCAGATCGAGAGGCTGACGCACGGGCTGCGCACCGTCCACTCCTCGGTCGAGGCGCTGCAGGCCAAGGGCCAGGCGGAGCGCGCGGCGGCGCAGGAGGAGCAGCAGAAGCGGGAGCAGGCGGCGGGCGAGCGGCTCGCAGAGGCGCAGGAGGGGTCGGCGCGCGAGCTGGCGCGACACCGCGACGCCATCTCCCTGCTGGTGGAGACGGTCGACTCGCTCACACGCGAGTCCAAGGCGGGCGACGAGGCGCTCGGCGGCAAGCTGGCCGAGGCAGCGGAGGAGGCGGACTCTCGCGGCGCGGCGCACGAGCGCGCGCTGCGGCAGCAGGAGGCGGCGGTAGGCAGCCTGTCGACAGACGTCGACGCGGTCAGCGACGCGGTGCGGAGGCTAGAGGCGAGGCTGGGCTCGCAGCAGGAGCAGCTGCAGGCGGTGGGTGGGAAGGGGGCGGGGACGGCCGAGCAGCTGCTCGCGCTGCAGGAGCAGCAGGCCGACCTCAAGGCCCAGCTCTCGCAGGCGCAGGCCGCGCTGCGCACGATCAAGGCGTCGGCCAAGGACGCCGCCGAGAGCCTCGTGAGCCACAAGACGCAGTCGCAGCGCGCGCTCGACGACCTCGTCAAGCGGTCTGAGGGCTTCTCCAAGGCAGCCGCCGTCTTTGCCGACGCGCTCAAGGTGCCTAACCCGCTCGGCGGCGCGCTGCCGATGCCGCGCCGCGTGTCGCACGGCTTCGGCAGCCCCTCCAACGGCACGCAGCATCACTTTTCGGAGCTGTCGTGACTGGGCGCCGCGTGCCTTGCCCGGGAGAGTGATCGCGCCTCCCGTTGCCTGCTCTCTCGTGCACAGACCCCGTGTATGTCTCCCCGCCGCCATGTGTTTTGCATGCGCACCTCCGCCTCTTGCTGTATTGACTTTTCCTACCACCTCTAGACGACACCAAGTGTGTTGTCATCAACACACAACAGACTACTGAGTACTGTCGTCTGACAGTCTGTTCAACAGAGTATAGTCAGTAGAAGGGTCTGACCTGGGGGCCGATGTGTCCAAGTGCTGGTCGCGTGTGGTTTAACCTCACAATAATAATATCACAAATCGCGTCATGGACATGTTCATGTAACGCACATGCATTGCGCGCCTCCCTCAACCCCCGCCCAAATAAGACCGCCCCCGCGCGCAGATGTCGCGGATGTTGCGATCCGATGGCTCCACGCTCGCAGCTCAGCGCGCCGTCGACGCCTTCTCAATCACAGCCCATTCCGACGATGCCGATGTCAGCGTGGCCACCTTCTTGAAGATGACGTACGGATCGTCGCCAGCGCTGTAGTAGGTGAGTGCGGCGCAGTCATCCTCCGCGGAGCACAGCTCGCCGGCCACGTTGAGGAAGGCGCTCTCGGAGGGACAGTCGTCGCCGCAGTAGGACTGGTAGTAGTAGTTGCTGTACGTGCTCGTGCTCGCCCCCGACTTGGTGAAGTACAAGGCCAGGCCGTTCCCGTTGACCTTGTACGACTGGTGCGTGGTGTAGCTTGCCATGTAGTCGATGAGCGAGCATGCAGAGCTCAGCGTCCAGCCCGAGGCGCTCACCCACGACCCGTCGGAAGCGCACGTCGCTGCATCGGTGTCACCGTTGGTTGTGTAGTCGCCGTCTTGGTCGTACCCGCTGAGGCAGGTGACGGCGCATTCCGTCCTGAGGAGGTGGCCTGTGCACGCGCTCGTGTCGACCCCGCCGCCCACCGCATCGCTGAAGATGTCGCAGTACATCAGCGACGACTGATCAAACTGGTACCACACGATCGAGGTGTACGTCTCCGAAGTGGTCGCATCGCTTTTGAACATCACGAACGGCGTCGCAGCGCCGCTGAAGTAGACAAAGCCGACGCACCCCGAGACTTGCGTCCAGCACATCTCGCCGGCGACGTCGAGGAGGCCAGCCTCATCGCAGTCGCCGCAATGTGTCTGCAAGTACTTGTTCTGCGACGTGTACTCGGTGCCGTCAGCGGCGGTGAAGTCGACCGCGATCGTGGAGCCCGAGACGGTCGCGCCCGCCGTCACGCTGTACGAGTGGCTGTGGTCAAAGTGCAGGCACGTGAGCGCCCAACCGGACGCACTCGTCCAAACGCCACCAACGCACTCGACGGCGTCGGTGTCCTGCACGCCATAGTCGCCGTCATCGTCCCACCCTGTTGCGCACTTGACGGCGCACTCGGTCCCCTCGACCGTGGCGGTGCAGTCGGAGGCGTCAATCTTCGAGCCAAAGTACTCTGGAGCGTACTCGCTCAGCGCGCCGCAGTCGTAGAAGGTGGTGATCTCGCTCGATCCCGACGTCGCGGAGAGGGACATCGGAACGCTGCAGCAGCCGTCGTTCGTCGCCACCAGGAAGGAGCCGCGTGGCATTCAGTGATAGGTCCATCATGCGGGTGAGCGTTCCTGCGTCGAGCCAGTGGAAGCGGCGGACGCGGGGAGCAGTCTCCAGCCTGGGGAGGCGGACGCAAAGTACTGAACGCAGAGGCGGCCCGTGCCGAACCCCGTCAGCGACTGGATCTCGACGAGGTGAAGCACCCGCGCGGCTGGCGGAGGCGGCAGGGCAAAATCTGGCACGGCGAGAGGAGGTAGACCACCGGCCTGAAGGACCGGCCGAGGGTCGGCGGACACGAGGAGCGAGGTGGTGCCGGGAGGGTCGTCGCCCTCCAGGGGTCGCTCAGAGAGGTTCCACAGACGAAACTCGTACCTCGAGCTGCCGATCCGGTACCATGGCGCATCCGCGTCCCGATCTAGCACCACGTCGGCTACGGTGTCGGCGCCAGCCTCGGCATCCGTCCTGGCGTCGAGGCCCGCAGCGCCCACCGGTGGAAGCTCGTTGAGCGGTGGGCGCACGTCCAGCCTCCCAGTCGGGAAGAAGCGCAGCGTGGCCAGCGTGACGACCCGGAGCCGCCCCTGCGCCCTCGCCTCGCCTTGCCCCACCTCCCCTCCCGCCGCCGGCTCGCTGCCGCCGCGGCGCCTGCTGCGGCGGCCCAACCGCGCGGCTTCGGGTCGACCTCGGCCGGCGGCGCCGCTAGCCAGCTCGTCCGCAGGTAGCTCTGCCAGTATTGACATGTCAACGCTGCTCGGGGCGCCAGCGAGGTCCTGCGAGTGGCGGTGGATACACAGTTGGACGTTGAGATCGCGGATACTACCTCGCGGGAGCAAGGGGGGGGCGGGCGTTGACGGCGTAGGAAGGCACCGGCTTTGTGGAAGGGTGGTAAAGGGGAAGAAAGTGTCGTGGGGAGGCGCAGTCCTTGCGCCGCCGCGGCGTGGCACCACCAAGGATGGCGCTAGCGAGAGACGTCAAGCCCTGGGAGGGGTGGGGTGCGGGCTTCAGGCGACAACAGACGGGCAGGGTAGTTGAGATAGCCTGCAGCAGCGGAGACCGTCAGAGAGCGGCTGAGCAGTCCCGTGGCAGAGGCCGAGGGCCATGAAGCGTGCTTGAGGCAGCAGCTTTGGTCACGGCTAGTGGCAGAGCACACCTCATTCGACGAGGTCGTGAAGCGACTTTCGAGGGTGGACTCGTCCGCGAGGCCCTCTGACTGGACCCGCGAGTAGAGAAGCTGCCCCTCGTACGCTCCATCGCCACGCGTTTGTGCCTCAGCGTCCAGTGCCGCGAGGGTGTCCCGCTCGACCGCCTGCCGTATGTTGTCGGGTCGGCGGCCCGAGCGGCTCTGAGGCTGACCAGGGGATCCGCCGCGCCGGATGCGAGCCACCTCGAGGGTGCCAAACACCTTCTGCTGCCACGCAAAATCCGTGCTCGCTATCAGCCGGTCCGGCTCGTCCTCCTCGCTCCGCAGCCCCTTGGCTGGCGGAGGCAGCAGCGCCCTCCCACCCTCCTCTGCCTCGTCGTCCGTGCCAGTGCCGGCCTCGTCGTCGGAGTCGGAGACCCTCCCCGCGCGCTCCTCCTTGTCGCGCTCGCGCCGTCGTCGCGGCCTCGCCGCGGCCGCGGCTGTTCCCTCCTTGCCCGGCCCTAGCCCCTCTTCCTGTGTGAGCGGCGCCGCCCGGCGGAGCGTGCCAGTCTTGCGGAGTTCGACGCGAAGCCGGAGGTTGTCCACCGGGTCTGTAGTCCGGTACGTGGCGGTGGGGAGGTAGAAGGACATTGGGATCGGGACTTCGACGCCTAAACTGCGCCGCGCCTCGGCCAACAGCTGGGGGCCGCGCCCGTCGGGGCGTGTGGCAGTTGATCGACCGTTACAAACGACGACAAAACTGTAATAGTTGTTTGGTATTCTTAACCCACCTGTAACATCACATTAAGGTATTGCTAAAAATCTCTCTCAAACGACGCGCCATTCCTTTGGTCGACTTTTGTTGGCGCGCGCACACTGGCGCGCACACCACACACGGGCGGCTTTGAAATCCCCTGACTTCTTTTTGTTGGACTCGAAGGTTGGGGACCCTGGCGAGTAGAGACCACGCCTCACTTTTTCACAGGGGGGGATCCGTCTGGAAAAAGGGGGTTTCCCTGCGCATGCCCGAGCCCTCGGCGAGGGCTTGTGCTGTGAATAGCAGGCGTGGACTCTACTAGCTGGGGGACCTGTCCCAGCCTCGCGCTTCCGCCACCCAGGAACACACCAATGCAGCACTCGGAGGAGCCAATCGACGCGGTCGTGGCGGCGCTGCAGGCCGAGAAGCCCGTGATCAGCGACGCCGTCAAGACGCTCATTTCTCTCGTCGTGGCGTCGCACGCCACGGCGGCTGACAGGGCGGCGGCGCCAAAGGGAGCTGGAGACCTCGCCATGGTCACCTCGTGTGGCAGAGCCCTTCTCAAGGCCATCAACTCCCACGTGCTGCCTCCGCCGCCGCAGTGGGCGCTCGAGCACCCGCAGGCCGAGCAGGAGACCGCGCTGGAGCGCATAGAAACGATGACGACGTACCGTGCTTGCCACGCCCTCGCGGCTCGCTGCGCCAAAGCCGGTGCCAAGCCGACGCGCATGCTCGGGCGTGGCTTTCTGCGCGGCACCCGTTGCTTGGAGACCGTAAGCGACAGCTGCCGCGCGCAGCTGCTGGAGCAGCGCTTTCCGCCGCCCCTCGTCGACACTTTCCTCGACCGGTTCGGCCGCTCCCTCGACGCGGTGTGCAGACCCTCGCGGCGCCCGCTGCGTCTCGGCCACATCTCGGCCGCACCTCGGCGGACTCTCCCCGCAGGGCAGCGAGGAGGAGGAGGCGCTGGTGTGGGCGGCGGACCTGCCGCGCGCCATCGATGAGCGGCGGAGGGAGAGGCAGCGCGAGGCGAGAGAGGGGCGGGCGCGAGCAGGGCGAGCTCTGTCCCTGCCCATGACGTGTCGAGGACACGCCCCTTAGGTGGAGGAGCGGCGCGAGCGGATGGATGCCGGGGAGGGCGAGGCCGTGGCGCTCCGCGAGGCGCTCGCGGCCATGCGGACAGGCGACGGCGCGGCGGAGGAGAGTCGCATCGAGGATGTGACTGAGGAGGGCTAAGGGAGACCAGGCCGGCGAACTAGCCTTGGGGCTCGCTGCAGCCGTAGCGCTGGTCGCGGTGCGCTGAAATCGCCGGCGATTCGTGAGACACTCAGTGTCTATGCTGACGGAGACGATACGCAGAGACATCAGACATGACACGACTGACGACTCACGAGACAGAGAGTTCGGAGAGGGAGACACTGGCTGAGTGGGCCACAGGAGGGGATGAAGAAAATACATACATGTATAAATTTAACGCCGATACGTGTGCTCTCCCCACACTCTACTTACCACTCTCCACAGACCACACATACAACAAGACGAGGGGCCACAGTGCAACCCCGTCGTGCATGGAACTTTCTAGGGAACTTTGGAACATGCCCGAGGCGCCACGCTCCGCCCCGCGCCGTGCCCTCGCGCTGCCTCCCCCTCAGGCGCAGAGCCGCTTGAACTCGGCGCGCAGCGTGCGCACAAAGACCGAGAAGTCGTTGGTCTGGTTGAGGCTCTCGACCAGCTGCGGCAGCGCCGGCACCTTGACAGAAGGGGGGGGGGGGGGGGGGGGGCTGGTGAAAAAAAAGGACCCCCCCCCAAAAAAAAATGGAAACCAAAAGGGGCTGGGGGGGAAGCGGGCTTGTGTGTTTCGGGCCCCCCGGTTCCCACTTCTTCAAAGGGGAAACGGTCCCCCCCCCCCCCCC